GTTACATTGATTTTGGTAATCAAACACGTATTTTGCAAGTACTATGTACCCTGATCAGGTTATTTCACAAATTTTTAAACTAGTGATGCAAAATGCAATGACAAGCTAAATATATTTATAACATAGTTTATTAAGTCTAATAATCCGACCGTAATATACTACATCGACTAAGTTATTAGAAAATAGTTTATTAATAATAATAATAATGCCTGAAATAATTATATTGAATAAATATATATTTGTCGATAGAAGTACAGTAATACCCCGCTTAACGCAGGGGATACGTTCCATCAAATAAAAGCGTAATGCAAAACGAGGCTATCTTTAATATAAGTGGAAATATTGGCTTCAGGAAATATTAGCTTAATGGTATACTGTGGTAAACATTATACTTGTTTATCTATGGTGGTAAATTTCTTTGTCGATCAATATCGACAGTCGTTTTTCTATTTCCTCTATGATGTTATATTCTAGCACGCAAAGCTCGACTTGAATGAAAGAGCGCTAAACCGAAACAGCGCTAAACAAAACAGCGTCAAGCGGGGTATCACTGTAATTATTTTAGGCAAAGTATTTTACTATAGTTTTAAATAATAAATAAGAAAATGTTCAGAAGCTACAAGCAATTAATGATAAAATTTTACAATAATAAATTAAAAAAAATAATAAGACAGTTGTATTTTGTCGGGTGCATGTATTGATTTACTTTGTATGACCTTAGTCTATGATCTACTCTATGTTGACTTATGTTGTATTCAGTGAACATAATCAAAGATTTCCAGGATAAACTACTGTATCGTGATATCTTCCGGATTCTCGTTGGTCAGCTTTGGTGTTGAAACAATCCGCTTTGCATGGTAGATCCCAGCAGCATGGTGGTGCTTTTGGTGCGTGCTTGCATCCTGGGCGGCAACATGGCATGCAGTTGTTAACTAGTGTGATACAAGATTATTTTATGTTATGTACATGTGAGAACACTTTTATATGGTAGTTTAATTTAATTTAATAGTATTTTAAATTTAAAAGTTTAATTTCTATTTAGAAACTACGAAATTAGTTTGCTAACTTGTTTTAGTTTTGCTCAATTATTGATTTCTGTAGTTTTAAACATCGTATAAAACTCATATATATTAGCTCAAAATTTGTACTTATGACTTCTTGTTAACAATCTTTTTGCAAAATCTTTTGCTATTCACTTCACTTTTCGGTCACTAAGCCAAAAATTTCAAATTTCTGCATTTATGCTTTTCAGTATTTTAAAGTATCACTTTTTGAACACAGTTTTTTCTAAGAATTATCACAATATTTGCATTAATCATTCAATGTAGTTTGTTCATTATCATAACAAATCAAATGATTTTGGAACAATTCGAATTGGTTCTAATCTACATATCTCACTTATCGATAGTACACTGAATATTTTTGTTGTGCTTTTTTCTTAAAAAACACATACTTGATGTTGTCAAACTTAAATACTTCCAATTAAATATCTTATTTGATATAATACACCAATAAATTTATGTAAAATGTAAAATATTCATATTTAAATTAAAGTATGTGTTTCTTGTGAGACTGTCAGGAAGAGAGAGCTTTGAGACCATGCTTTGTGTGGTGTCATGGCTTTCCTATCTTGCCTGATGAAGTAAATGATCATATTAATGCTAGTCTCTATAATTCTGTAGATTTCCAAACAGCATTGCACACAAATACACATACATCCAATTTAGAGAATTTTGGATGGTACATATATAATTTTTTTTTCAATTTTTATAATTTGACCGACGATTTCGACGCCTACTCTGCACATTTTTTATTAGTAAACAGCAAAAGCTGAACTGTTAATTAAACATTATCTATTAATGAGATAATCTTACGCATTGTCGTTGATGGTTTTTGGCAGACAGGTGGAGGGCACGGCGGATGAGCGCTTGTAGCCGCAGTTACACAGCATTCCGCTTTCTGCATTATTATTTTGAAATGTGAATATTAGACGTAAAGACTATATTAAAAAGAATTTTTCATGAAAATATTTAATGAAATATGCTGATCCTATAAAGTGAACTTTTCATTATGTTGCGCTTACATTACGCTTACAAATTGCAGAACCTTCCAAATTTACATTGTGTATTTGGTTTATTGCGAATAAGTTTAAGGTATCTCACTAGAGGTATAGTTATCTATTAATATAAGTTAGAGTTCATACAATACCTATATAACGACATATTTTTATGAAAAACTTATTACAGCCGTTCAAATTATTGTAAATTTTCAAGTGAATACCATACCATAGGACATGTTGGTGCTGGACAGGGAGAACAGGGTCGGCAAGGTAAGCAAGGCGAATACACGATTACTTCGGCACAAGGCTGATTGGAGCATTGCGGCATTACTGATCTGCTTTAGTTTTAAAATTTTTAATAACCACACATACACACATACACACACATATATGTGTATATATACATACACACACACATATATATATATATATATATATATACATATATACATATATAATTAATCCTTTCCAATCGGATGCCGCCATTCGGGCGGCAAAATACACAGAAATTCTGGAATTTGCGAGTGAAAAGGGTTAAATCGTTATATATTATATAATATACAATGTATACAGTGCGTATGTCGTGAATGTGTAGGCATGTATGTATATGTAAGTCACATATTATTACTTACTAACGCTGTTTAGATCTGATGTATGGATGTAATTCCTTTAAAATATAAGCAGTTTGTTCACTTTAAGATGGTAGTATTTTTATTTAATTAAAACCAACATTAGCTCGACATTTTTAAATTATTTTACTTTTGTTTTTTTGGTGCTTATATATTTTTTGTTTTTTTTTTAGTTCAAGTTATTCTCATAAGCTTAGTGAAAAGAACATCGTTATTAGTGTCATTAGTGTCAATATTTTTCCATAAAACATTCAAATATTTATTGTCTGCCTACTGCAGCTGTCAATAACCATCAAGTCACATTGCGTGCTAGGGGTAAGTAGCACTTTGCCTTGAAAATTACATGAACTTTCTGCTACGTGTGAATAAATAATTGACTTTCAGTGTTATGATTCAGAAGTTAGATGAAATTTTCAATCGTTTATTTAGAAAATAAACGACTTCGCTTTCATTAAAAATTAATCGATACTTGTATGTCCTAAAAGCGCGGCCCTTATTTCAAACTTTAAAGAGATTTTATATTTAAATCACATATAATAATTTACTATATTAAATAATATAATACTTGATTTTCGTGAACTCTATCGTGATGAAGCGATTCCCAACTGATATATCTCGGATGGTTTTTAAATATTCAAAATCGGCTTAGGATTTTAGCGAAAACATGGACGAAATATTTTACACTTTTGCTAATTTTATTTACAGAAATGGCTCGGCCGAGCGTTTTGCAAGACTAATTAACGTGAGTCCTTATCGAGTTTCATCGAATGGTTTTCAAATTTTTCGGTTCAGTCGTTTTGGAGAAAATGTCGCCGAAAGGTTAATTTTCGGCTCAACATATATACTTCTTCCCAATTTTGTCGGATTTTTCGCCAAAAACATAAACTAGTTCAAAAAGATAAAAATAATTCAATAATACGTTGAAAATTATGCTTCTGAGGCGCGTCGAATGTCCTTCGGAACAAAACTCTCCGTGTCAAATAATTAGAAATCATTAAATTCTTTTTTTGTACTTTTTGGATATCAAATTGTTAGTTCTCATAGTTGCTGCTTTAATAAAAATAACAAATAGTTAGGAAAACTATATCTATAATGTAAGATATTATTTTCTTACTATTTTTACGGAAGCCGGAGTTCTTGAAGCACATGCTTCTGTGTACAAAGATTGGTTTACACTTAAAGAAGGAAATGTGCTTTTTTGAGTTTAGTTTCATTCCACCGAGATGTTACAAACAATAATCCAAATTCAAGATTTTGCAGCATATATATCTTATTTTTAGTGTATAACGCTATCTGATTTCGTATAATTGTGAGTGTGTTCTGTTCGCAAGATTCACTTTTCTGTATTTCATTGCGCTTGCATATTATATTTTTTTAAATTATATGGCATGTAATTTTAATAGCGACAGTTATGGTCTATCTGTAGATAATATTGGATTTCACTTCTGTACTAATTTCGACTAATTAGTAAACCTGTATAATTTACATACATATCACATGTACATATGTTTATGTAAATGTGTAAATACCCTGAAAGATTTTTATTTTTATTATGATTTGTTGGCGTTTTAGTAGAGTTTTATTTTGATAATACGTCCTTACTCTACATTTTGCAGAAGTTCGTACCATATTACTACTCTAGATAATAAATAAATAAGTTTTCTAATAACGTTTCAGCA